TGTTGCTTTAAGGCAAGGGTCCCTAACCTAACCTGATGGCTTGATCCTCTAGGGGTTTTATGAAGTGTGAAGTGTGTGAAGAGTGTGATAGAAAAGTGAACATCTCATCAAACTGTGGGTAAAATGATGTGTGTGCCCAAATATATGTACTTTTCTGGGGAAAGAGTCCATTGATTTAATCACATTAGTAAAGGGACTCAGAAACCAAAAGAAATTAAAATCACTGACAGATAATCAAAAGCAAAAATGTTGTGTTAAAATCTGAATTTCCAGTCTCTAAGTGTATCAGATAACTGAATTTTTTAATTTGAGATTTTGAAACAATGGAGAAGCCGTGTTGCCATCTTACTAACATCATGAAATGACTTGTTTAAATATAAACCCATTAAATGTTTGAAATACATAATCTAAAAAGTTCATTTCATAAAAAAAAGTTCATTTCATCAAGGGCCATCTGTGGTTACCACTGTCTGAAGGATGGGAGAAGCATATAGATTTAACAAATGACTAGAAATCTGCTTCTTAGGGAAGTTCAAATATTCCCCCGGTGTCATGTAAACAAATAAAGACTGTAGTTTGCTTGTTCTATTTGCATAAAATAATAATTCTCAGCAGTATCAATACATTTCACATGCCACTGGATTAAATCTTGAATATTCATGCATGCATTAAAAAGCCTTCTGTTGCTTTGGTGGAAACTAATATCATGAAATGTGTTCCAGCTTTCCTTTAGGGGGAAGAATATTATAACTGAAAATTAAATCAAAGCAGTTGCTTATTAATAAGAATAATCAAGAAGAGAAAGATGGGAGATTGCCTTGGAAATAGTAGGAGAGGCCCAAGGAAATATTAATGTTCTGTGGGCCTGGGGCCCAGAGAGACTAATATTCAAGTGGTAATGAGTGTCTTTAGACCTTAAGCATCCACTGTCTGTACCAGTATCATTGTTTGTTTGGGTAATGAGACAACAGAATTCCAGAATGATGGGCAGAGTTGAGGAAAATGGAGCAGGATTGCCCATCACGGAGCCCAGCATAATAATGAACAGCCATCTGGAAACTTTGGCTTTGATACCAGGCAAGTTCTGCCCTAGGTAGGTAAAAAGTGGGAAAAAACTTTGCTTTCAATGCATGCCTGGTTTGGAATAAAGCCCTTACTAGCCCTTTGAAGTAGAATCACAGAAATTAAGAACATCTGTACACCCAAGTTTCTCAACCTTGGCACTATTGACATTTTGGGGTTGGATAATTCCTTGTTTTCCAGGCTGCAAATTCTTGGGCCCTACCGCAGACCTACTGAACTATAAACTGGGAATGGGGTCACCCCTCCATGTGAGTCTGAGGTTGGCTAAAGTTTAAGAAGTAATAATCTAACTCAACTCTCTCATTTTTACAGCTGAAGAAAAAGAGGTTGGTTAAGTATTTACTCAAGCTGGTTATCAGCCAAAGCCATACATCATTTGTCCGTATCTAGAGTTTGCTAAATGGGGCCTTGCAGGAAGAGGTTGATATCCTGCAAGCATATTTTATCCCAACACCATGACACATGAAACATTTTGTTGCACAGCAAACATTCCAAGACTAGCTGAATATGTTTCTCAAATTTGGTCTCTCCTAGATTCCCAGGTTTTCTAGGCTTTCATGCAGACTCCTTTACTTTTGTTGACATTATTTTTCTAAAGATTTTTTTTTTTACCTATTTTTTTAATCTTTTTGCCTACTTCCTTTTTCTTCTCTGCTTTCATCCCTGAGATAGCCAGGCTATAACCTTGATGTGTAGCCTTCCAAATCTTTTTTTGTATAATCACATACAAACATATATTCACATATACACACATACATACGTATAATTATTATATATAGCACATAGAACCAAGTATTTAGAACAGAACCTGAAACATTATAGATGCTCAATAAATATTTATTGAATGGTTTGCTTTATAAAAATGGGATAATTTGGGGCACCTGGCTGGCTTAGTCGGTTAAGCATCTGCCTTCGGCTCAGGTCATGATCCCAGAGTCCTGGGATCGAGCGAGCCCCACATCGGGCTCCTTGCGCAGCGGGAGGCCTGCTTCTCCCTCTCCCCCTGCCTGCCGCTCCCCCTGCTTGTGCTCTCTCTCTCTCTCTCTGTGTCAAATAAATAAAATCTTTAAAAAAAAATGGGATAATTTTTTTTTGAGAGAGCACGAAGTTGGATGGGGGAGGAGCAGAAGGCAAGGTAGAGCAAGAATCTTTTTTTCTTTCTTTTTAAAGATTTTATTTATTTATTTGTCAGAGAGATAGAGAGCACAAGCAGGGGGAGTGGCAGGCAGAGAAAAGCAGGCTCCCGGCTGAGCAAGGAGCCCAATGGGTTCCTTGGGATCCCTGGGACCCTGGGATCGTGACCTGCCTGAACCAGAGGCAGACGCTTAACCAACTGAGCCGCCCAGGCATCCCTTGGAGAGCAAAAATCTTAAGCAGGCTCCACACCTAGCATGGGGCCCGACTCAGGGCTCGATCTCATGACCTGAGCCAAAACTAAGAGTTGGATACTTAACCAACTGAGTCACCCAGGTGCACCCAAAATGGGATAATTATTTTTAAAATGGGATAATTATATAAATAATAACATATAACAATTTATATATGTACTGTATCTGGCTTTTATCACTCAATGCCTCTAGGTAATCTCTTCATTAGATTTAATTAATTCTTATGAATGGTTGCATAATATCTCACCACTATGAAAGTAATATCAATTTATTTAACTATATCTCTAATTGATAGTCAAGATGCTTTTACTTTTTTGCCACCTTAAATAAATAATAGCTAACACTTACTGAATATGTACCAAATGTAAAGCTTTTTTTTTTTTAGCATTTTTAATGTATAAAGTCACAGAGTTAAGGTTATTTTTCCTGTTATAGGAAACTGAACAGGGATGGGTAAGAAACTTGACCAAGACTGTACAGCTAGGAGGCAACAGACTGGTGGGTGTGTTCCCATAGTCCCTTTCACTGAACTGCTTCTACACAAGCAGTAATTGACACAGTTATACACACATTCTAATGGAATGGTGCTTTACTTCTAGTTGACAGTTTTCCAGGAGTGGAATTACTGAGGAAGAATATGTGTATATTTTATACTGATAGATTGCTTTGCAAAAAGGCAGTGACAGTTTGCATTTTCACCAGCAGTGTATGAGAATGTACTTTCTTCCATCAGATTATCATTTAAAAATATATGTATTTTATTTATTTTTTGCCAGTCTAGTGGGTGAGAAGTGATATTTCACAGTTATGTTTACATGCTTTTAAGACAGTAGTGAGGTTAAGCATCATATGCTTATCAGCTATTTGGATGAACTCCACTACAAGTCCAATGTCTGCATGGTGGGACAGCAGGCTGGAGATCCACAGAAGAGCTAATGCCCTCAAATTCAAAAGCTATGAGGCTGAAAACCCGGCCCTCCTTCCAACACATTTGTAACAATTAATCCTTTTAGTAGCCTTTCTGAAACTGCTAATGGTCAGACTGCCTGGACTTGATGTCTAGCTCACCACTTACTAGTGACTGAGTTCCTTAAAATAGCAGTAATAAAAATCTGCTTCATAGGATTCCTGGGAACACTGAAGGAATTGCTTCTTACTTTATTACTTTCCCCTGTTGTTATTTGTTCTATTATAGGGATTTGTCATTGCTTTTTTTTTAAGATTTTATTTTTTAGTAATCTACAACACCAAGAACAAGTCACATGCTCTACTGACTGAGCCAGCCAGGTGCCCCAGGATTTGTCATTGCTTTTTGAGTAAATTGCAAGAATATAGGGATGTAATCATGGCCTGCCACTTACAAGACATATTTTTTTTTTTTAGATTTTATTTATTTATTTTAGAGAGAGAGAGAATGTGTGAGCAGGGGAGGAGCAGAGTGACAAACAGACTCCACGCTGAGTGCAGTGCCTGACCTGAGGCTTGATCTCAGGACCCTGAGATCATAACCTGAGCTGAAACCAAGAGTCAGACAAGTTAACCGTCTGAGCCACCCCGGTGCCCCAGGGGAAAAAATCTTAACATAATCATGTGTCTTGGGACCTTATGTCCCTAATTAGTAGTCTGTTTTATATATGTACCTTATGTACAACAATCTAAGTTTTTATAGAAGACACACAAGGTTGGATTTCAAATAAGCATTCCTAGTTTCACTAACACAAGAAATTCAACCTATCAAAGACTTTCTCTCATTGTGCTGCAGAAAACTTTAGAAATGGCAAGTAGTAAGATCAGTCATCAAAAGAAGTTTCATCTTTAGTGTGTCTAAAAATTTTTAGAGTTTTAGAAGTGTAAAAATTTGTAGTAATGATGAATTTCACGTCTTGAAGTATTTGGGAAATCTTAGGCTAGGTGAAACTCTTCAGAAGTGTCACTTAATTACTACCCTTCTGGCTTAGAAAGAGGTATACCAAGACTCTAGGAAATTACCACCAGAAACAAAGACTTTTAAAAATTATCCTACAAAAAATTATCAATCTTAGGGAGTTTTGTTTGTTTCAATGTTGTTTAAAGAATTAGAAATGCAAATAAAGTGCCGGCGAAAAGTAGTCTCACAATAAATGTTAACTATTACTGTCACTCCCTGCCATCAAGGATCATGTATTTTCGTATTTAGACCTAGCACTTATTTGACAGTCATATAAATATTATCAAATGAATGACTGAGTGACATCAAGGATAGACCATTTGCGCTATATGGCCAAACTCTGGAGTTCGGGGTCCTAAGTAAGATACCGGAATCAAGAGAAAACTACGGGTAAGACAGGCTCCCGCTTGCCCATAGTCGTGGACTACAATTCCCAGCATGCAGCTAAACTCCGTGGTTGCCATGCATCCTGGGAAAGACGTCTCCGGCTCTTCATTGGCTACGCAGGAGAAACGCTTGTAGTTTCTGCAAATAACGCGGGCTTTAGCGTACGCACGCACGGAGATTGCGCAGATCGCATGTAAATTCTACGGAACTCATTTTGAATAGACAGATTTTCAGGACTAAAATACGGTAGGATTTAAGAAAAGTTCTGCTTCCGGTAACACCGGAAGCAATTTGAAGATGGCGTCTTCCTCCTTAAACGGACCGGCCGCTGCGGACGGGAGAAGTGAATTTCGTAACAAGAAGCCGAAGCCGGAGAACCGAGGTAAGGTTGAGCGAGAACTGAAACCTGATATTAGGATATTGAGTTACGATTGTTTTCTTCCGCTGGCTGGGGACTCGTAACGCTGCCTTAGTGTGTTCTGTGAAGTTGAGTACTTACCATTGTTGAGGATTGGGGATGATGGCCAAGCCTGCGGGACCGACTGGCAGGTATGGTGCCAGCCACGTGTTCCTAACCGCTTTTGCTAGAGGCCTTTCAAAGTATAGATGTTGCAGAGTTTGTCTTCTGTCAAAGGAAGAAGATTAAGAAATTGTGCAGGGCGCCGCAGGACCTTACACTCGCGGCGGTGGCTGGAAGTCTTCGACAAAATGAGGGATGGAATGGGGTAGGAATAGGAGGTCGTTATATATATGAGTGAACGCTGATAATAAAGGAGTGAGACAGATAGGAGAAGGAGGTGTCTGGCGTGTTCTTAACGCTAGTTTGTCCGTTAGTGAAATTTTGTAACATTATCATCATTCCTGTTTGTCAAACCGCTAAAATATTAGACGACACGACTCATACTCTAATTTTAGACTGCCCTACTTTTAAATTGCTGTCTTCCTTTGTAGTCTGGTTTTATACCTTTTTTTCAGTGTGAATGACAAAGAGAGGCCAGAGAAATAGCCCAAGACCCGAGCAACCAGTCTTATTGGAAGTGTTAAAAACCTTGAACTCACATTCTGTAGGCAGTAGGGAAGTATTAAAGGAGTTCTGTTATTTTTAATTATGTAACATAGAGTACAGTCTATGTACAGCTTGAAGAATAAACACAACAGGTGAGAAAGGAGCACTCTATACCATTACGCAGAAGAAGCATTGCCATACTCCCGACCCCCCCTAGGAGCACCTCTCAGATCATAATGCTTCTCCCTTACAGGACATGAGGTAACCATCCTGAATCGTTTTGCTCTTCTGTTCTCTGCATAATCTTTACCACCTATGCACGAAGTGGTTTGATTTTTTCAGTTTTTGAATTTTATATGAATGCAAGAAGGCTGTAGACATTGTTCTGGCTTCTTAGGCTAAACTTTGTTTTTCTTATTGAGTCAAGGTGATACTTGTAGCTGTAGTTTATTCTTTTCATCTGATATTGATGAGATTTTCTTCTATGCATATACATTTATTTATATTACTATTCTACTGTTGGTGGACATTTGGATTGTTCCCATTGTTTGCTATTATAAACAATGCTTCTATAAACATCTTTTTGTATATCTCCTGGTTTGCATGTTCAAGAGTTTTCTTCAGATTATGTAAGTGGGACTGGAATCCATGAAAGTTAGGGTATGTGCAGGTAATGCTAAATCTCTCCCAAAGGGGTTGTGTCAGTTTACACTCCCACTAGCAGTGGATGAGAATTCTTGTTGCTCTACATCCACAGTAGCACTTGATATTATCTGCATTTTGAATTTCTGTCATTTTGGTAAGTATGAAATGGTATCTGGTTGGGGTTTTAATTTGAATTTTCCTTATTAGTAGTGAGGTTGCATATCTTTTCACATGTTTTTTGGGCTATTTGCGCTTCCTCTATTGTGAAACTCCTGTGTATTTTGCTAGGTTTTTTGTTTTTGTTTTAAATTTGTAGCTACTGAAGTGTTTAAATTGGGTAGAAACTTGGTAAGATAAACATTTTAAGTAATCACAGTTATAGAATTGGAGAGTTTTTGTTTTTTTAAGGATATTGGGAAGTAAGTGATGTATGAAGACTAGCTAATTCTCTGTGATTTGAACCAGAAATAACAAAGTAGACGTGAATATAAGAAAGAGAAGCAAGTTTACCTGTGGTGGATAACGTGAACTACAGAGGCCCTTTTCTCAGACTTAGTGTGCATAAGAATCTCCTGATGAGATTATTAAAACACAGATTCCTGGGACTCATCCCAGAGATTCAGATTTGGTAGGTCTGAATTGGAACCCAAGAACTGCATTTCTGACTAACTCCTAGTTCATGCTGATGTTGCAGGCCTGTGGGTCATACCCTTGAGGAGTACAGAATTAAAGCATAGCTGTTAGATTTAAGAGATTCCTAAAATCCAGGACCAGGAGTTCTAATAAATGATGTAGGAGATCATATATGGCCCTTAGGAGACATTTTGTTTTATTAAAAGGAGACCTAGACTGAATCACCTTTGTGTCCCCTTAGACAAGTCACTAATCTTTTTGGACTGAACGTCTTTTATAAAACGGGGAAAATAATACTGGTTCTTGCTACTACCTTTCACAGTTGTAATGAAGGTGTATACAGAAATAAGGCATATGAAAACTCTTCGGAAAGTCTAAAACCCTGTACCAGTGATTGGTAACTGAAAGTATATGTGTGTGTGCATACACACAAACCCAAATATATATGCACATGCATATATATATATACACACACACAAGGCTGCAATTCAGGAAAGTCTAAAAGGTTATATTGAAAATAGTCATGTAAACAAAGTGGTATTTGGATCTTTAATAGTGTAGTACAATAGAAGTTTCTGGAGTACCCCACTGTCTGTCAGGCATATGCTAATTACTGTGGATCCAAGGAGGGTCCCTGCCCTTAAGGAACTTTGTCTTACGAGGCTGAAGTATATACAGTTAATTTTAATACAGTGTATTGAAAATAATGACAGAGGCATGTTCTTTGTTGAATAAAGAGCATGGGAACAGGAACTACAAGGAGAGTATTGGGAGCATGTAAATGTATGCATATAAGTGTTCAAAAAAGTGGCCAAAAGAAGGCTAAAATCTTATGTGTAAGTTTCTTCCCCTCTTTAGATGAATCAGAACTCCTTACTGTTCCTGATGGTTGGAAGGAACCGGCTTTTTCCAAAGAGGACAATCCCAGAGGACTCTTGGAGGAGAGCAGTTTTGCAACTTTGTTCCCAAAATATAGGGAGGCTTACCTGAAAGAGTGCTGGCCATTGGTACAGAAAGCCTTGAATGAACATGTATGCACATTTTACATATTTCTTTGAGATTTGGTTCTTATACCTTTACTTTTAAATAAGTATGTATGCTGATAGATTTTTTTTTTTTTAAGGTACTGGCATAACTGGTTACTTTGGTTCCTTTGTTTTTTGTTTTGTTTGTTTAGAGAGAGCACGAGAGTGTCGTGTGCGTGAGTGATTGGGGGGAGGGGCAAAGGGAGAGGGAGAGAGTGAATTCCAAGCAGATGCGCAGAACATGGCACTTGTTCTCACAACCCTGAGATCATGACCTGAGCCAAAATCAAGAGTCAGACGCTTAACCAACTGAGCCACCCAGGCACCTCTGGTTCCCTTGGTATTTTAAACAGCGTAAATATAAGCTTTATTCTTTTTCTTTTTATTTATTTTTTTTTCTAAAGATTTTATTTATTTATTTGAGAGAGAGAGAGAATGAGAGATAGAGAGCACGAGAGGGAAGAGGGTCAGAGGGAGAAGCAGACTCCCCGCCGAGCAGGGAGCCCGATGTGGGACTCGATCCCGGGACTCCAGGATCATGACCTGAGCCGAAGGCAGTCGCTTAACCAACTGAGCCACCCAGGCGCCCTCATCAT